GCCAATCACCAATGATCCAACTCACAAACTATCAATGAACCAACTCTCCAATTACCAAAAGTGCAATAAACCAACTCACAAACTACCAATGAACCAACTCACAAACTACCAATGAACCAACTCGCCAATCACCAATGATCCAACTCACAAACTATCAATGAACCAACTCTCCAATTACCAAAAGTGCAATAAACCAACTCACAAACTACCAATGAACCAACTCACAAACTACCAATGAACCAACTTGCCAATCACCAATGATCCAACTCACAAACTACCAATGAACCAACTCACAAACTACCAATGAACCAACTCGCCAATCACCAATGATCCAACTCACAAACTACCAATGAACCAACTCACAAACTACCAATGAACCAACTCACAAACTACCAATAAACCAACTCACCAATCACCAATGATCCAACTCACAAACTATCAATGAACCAACTCTCCAATTACCAAAAGTGCAATAAACCAACTCACAAACTACCAATGAACCAACTCACAAACTACCAATGAACCAACTCGCCAATCACCAATGATCCAACTCACAAACTATCAATGAACCAACTCGCCAATTACCAATGATCCAACTCACAAACTATCAATGAACCAACTCTCCAATTACCAAAAGTGCAATAAACCAACTCACAAACTATCAATGAACCAACTCGCCAATCACCAATGATCCAACTCACAAACTATCAATGAACCAACTCGCCAATTACCAATGATCCAACTCACAAACTATCAATGAACCAACTCGCCAATTACCAAAAGTGCAATAAACCAACTCACAAACTACCAATGAACCAACTTGCCAATCACCAATGATCCAACTCACAAACTACCAATGAACCAACTCGCCAATTACCAATGATCCAACTCACAAACTACCAATGAACCAACTCGCCAATCACCAATGATTCAACTCACAAACTACCAATGAACCAACTCGCCAATCACCAATGATCTAACTCACAAACTATCAATGAACCAACTCTCCAATTACCAAAAGTGCAATAAACCAACTCACAAACTACCAATGAA